CTTTTTCTGGTCTTTCCTTCCACAACATATTTATTGCTGAATAAGCACAACAGCTGGAATAAGATTTGCTTTTCAATGATTCTGGTGAAGAAGCATAGCAGAATTTCAGTAACACTAGAAAGAAATGAAATAATTGCACTTATATTGATTGTAGTGTTATACATGGAGTAGATCCCATTGGATTCAATGAGAGTTATTTTTGAATAGAGACAGCATGGTGAGATCACACCAATAAACTGTGACATATACTTTCTTACAGTTACAATTCAATGGTTTCCTTAAAAGGGGCAGAAAGGAATGTTAAAATATTTTTATTTTTATTTTGTTTATACATTTTACATATTTCTTCAATCTAAAAAACCTCTTAAGTTGTGTACATAAGAACCACAATAATATCACCAAAGCAAAATCATAACAGGATAAAACCAATTATCTCTAATTATCACAATCATTAAAACATTAAAGTATTGAACTGTGTTGAAAAATCATAATTAATTAGTCTCTTAATGCCTTCCACAACAGTTTTAACTAATTTTCAGATAGAAATTAACATTGGAAAATATATTTGCCTCACCGAGAAAGCTGTTCCAAAGGAGGTGAGTAGAACATCCTATTTCATATATTTTCTATTGTACTTTGTGGGCTTTGAGAATTCTCATTAGACATTCTCTATTCACTTTGACTGAATGGGCAGAATTTAATTGGGAACGGTGTTCTGGTAGATACCCAGGCCCTGAGCCATATTATTGCCATAATATTATATAGCAATAATGGCAATAATGAAAGTATCCTGTACAGTAAACACAAAACTGTTGGACTTCGTACCAGTAGAAGTTTCTGGGTGGACTGCAGGGCAGTCCATGTAAATTGATCAGGTGAGAGATGAGTTACCATCTTTAGCACCTCTTCTAGGTAAAATCATAACATGCTCCAATCAGGCTGGGCAATGCCCTTCTGCCCAGAGCCCACCAGGGGCTGCCAAATTGCAACATGTTTTCTAATTCACTTTCTCTAATTTAAGGTTCAAGATTTGTAAACCAACTACATGGATTTTAGTGAGGATTAGTACTCCTTCCTCACCTAATTAGGTTTCCATATTGCACACCAGTTCAGCTTCTTGTCCACAGTTTTGTGGTGGATGGGGCTAGATTTATTGAAAATGTATTTGGATGCTGGACTTAAGAGTTTATGTTTTCAAATTCTCTATCCTTGGAATGGCTATAGCTTTCTGTCCATCACTAATATTATCTTACCCTCTATCTTTGTCCCCTTAACAAATTGCAAATAATCTCCCCTTTCCTAGGAAATGAAACACCAATTATGCAAAGCAAATTCCACTTCATACTTCCACAGGCCAGCTATTCTTAATTGCAAACCTCCAATCCATTTCTGTATAACTTCCTCAATAGTTTGTTCAGATTCCTGTTTCCATGCATAGGACCTGCAAGAAACATCAGCCCCAAACATCTTTGTTTCTTATTTCTGTCTGGAACAATGTCATTCTATGTTCTCCCAACAAGCTATGGCCTCTTTAGATCTTGCCTGCCTTCTCAGCTACAGGTCTTTGTTCTGCCAACTCTCTACCCCGAGCTCAGCTTTCTTCACCAATTGTCTTTTTAGTTCTTTCGACATTACAATGGTTCACTTTACTAGACACGCCAATAAATGTAGCTCCACTTAGGAAAATAATATTACCTACTTGCTACACTTCTAGAATAGAACATAGAATGTAGAATAATAGGGCTGGATGGGATCTTGGACATCTTCTAATTCAAGCCCTTTCTCAACAAAGTTGGTAACAAGATGCCAACAATGTTTATTGTGTATTCACTATCCAGTAAACAAAAGAACAGCAAAATGTGAATGAGCTTATAGTTCTATCCATGCAATCAGTAAAAGGCATGCTGTATGTGGTTAGGGACAGGCATATTCTGTGAACAGCCTGTACTTTCATTTCTTCAGGGTCTCTAACCTCTTTTCTATAAATCTGTGCTTGGGGGTTGGGAGGAATTTGGGTCCTTTCTGTCATGTGTGCAAGTACTTCTTATCTTCTGTTTTTCCTCCCAAAGGCAAAATTGTACTGTTGTAATTGAGAGCAGAGGTCTATGCGAACATTACTGTACAAAGGAAAGGGTTAGGGCAGCTCTGAATTTTTAAAAATCTCTTACAAACATCCCTGTTAAAACTCTTTGTAACCCAGTTGGAAAGGTTTTTTTTAAAACACACACACACACACACACACACACACACACACACACACACCAGTAATTTAAAGTTTTATGGAGGAAAAATGTCCCTTGCATTTCATCTGTGGTGGCATTTCATATTGGTTTTGCAATTGAGTTCAAAAGATCAGATTCAGTTTCTTTGCAGCAGGGGAATATACTTTTGTGACCTCCTTTTTTTGAAAAAAATGTGTTAGGGTGAAGACGCCCTCTAGTGGAGAGAAAAAGGCATTTCTGTATCAATGTAACATGTGATCTGTGTCCAATTGCCCTATAAAACTTACTTGCTTGTATTCAAAATTAGTATTTGTTAAATATGTTAACAGTTTTCTAAGAGAAAAAAAATCTTGATCCAATCAAAATAATTCAGATATATAATATGAACTACATTAAGAATATTTTGTAGTGTTTAATCTATAAATAGGAAATCAAGATAGAATTACAGAGTTATTCTCTGGTTTCTATTTTCTAGAATTACATAGTTTCTACTAAAGGGCCTAGAGCAGGGGTGAAATGCTCCCGGATTGGACCGGATCGCCTGATCCGGTAGCGATTTTTCCCTGTGGTTCGGTGATCTGGTAGCAATCACCACCCGGCTGTCATTACTTTCTGGTTTTAACCAGGAAGTAATGTTTTTTTTAACCTTCTGTGCATGCGGTGGGCGCGTGCACTTCCGAACCGGTAAGGAAGGTAAGTAGATTTCATCCCTGGCCTAAAGTGTAGCTATATATATATTCTATGTAAGGTAGGAAGTGCATTCTGCTCCAATGACCATCATATTACTGGATTTATACTGTATCTGTACTATAAAAATATTTTTTTTGATGTTTGCTGATTTTTTAAAACAAAACATTCCATTTACTTTTCTTCCCAAGATTTCTCTTGCTCTTCAGAATTTCACTGAAGTCAGTAGGATGATGATCATGAAAAGTATACATTATTCCGCTCTGCAATGCATATCCATAGTCCCAAATTCCACTCATAGATTGGGATTTCAGGTGGCTTTTTAAAAAGTTAAAAGGGCTGCTATTTAATTTTTTTTTCAGATAAAATGTTAGTGCTAGAGAATGATAAGTAAAAACATTTTATATCTGTTGTCCTATATCAACAACAGGACAGTCTAATAAGTATTGAATTAATTATACAAAAAGTTTTTATTTCAGTTCTGTGTTAAGAGGAGAAGAATACAGAATAAAAAGAAATCTAATATATTCTCCTTCTCTTTCTCTTCCATCCTTGTGATATCCATATTGGTACCCGGAGAATCTACTTTCATTGTAGGAGCTACTAATTTTTCCCCCAACTTCTTTAGGGAGCATCCTAATACTAAAGAAACTGCTTTGAGGAGTAGCATTTGTAGGATTGTGCGTCTATGTTTATGTGTAATTGGGAGAGTGGAATGGATTGGGGATTCCTATGTATATCTGTGTACAATTGCACTGGGGGTCATTTGAATTCAGTCCATGTTTACTGAAGAAAAATAAATCATACCACTATATTTATTGGTATTGTAGTGGTTTCACATTTTAGTTACAAAATATCTTGCATGAATGGTATGTGTGGAAAATGAAAGTTCTACTCACTTAAATATACACAGTGACCCGGAGCTGAAATGTAATATCCAATAAGTGCAATGACAGGCACAATTCATCTGGGATGACAGCTGCTCAAATAGAGCTAGCAAGGAAATCCTGAACTAAACTGATAAAGGTATAATTGTGCTACTATAAGGGCTAGTCAGTGTTGCTCCCATATATGAGGAGACAATATTAGGTCAGTGTTGATAGGAATAAAAACTTACCCTATGAATGGGTAATAGGCTGAGCAATTATTATCTTCACTGTGTTACTCTAAATTATATTTATCTCACAAACCATAACTGAGTTTACATGACATATACGTAGTAATGTTTTGTGTGATATGTAAACATAGCCAATATGTGGTGGAAAATAAAGAGTTTCTAGTATTAAAAAAAATAATGTGACCTACTTCAGACATCATGCTAGCGAAGCTTCCTTAGCTATGATTTCTTGAATAAATCATAATTGGCTGGGTTCACACAATGCTTGCCACAAATCATGTATCATTAATTATAGTGCCTACCTTCAGAAAGCATGTTAACCGAGGCAAACCGCATTGTGGCACATTCAGTCTGTGAATGTGGAATCAGCATAGTTTATAGAACAACTGTGCACACTGTATGCTAACTGAATTTTGGTCAAACACATTAGTAACACTTTCTGAACTGTGAAATAGCTTTCTTGCTTGTTCTGTTGACCATCGACCTATTGTGCAATGGTACAATCATAACTGTACATTCATGGTTCCCTGCCCTTATCTGCCTCAAGGATGAGAAAACTTGACTATGAAGCTTTATGTACATTTAAATATTCTCCATTGAATTATATGTTGGTGTGAGAGCTTATTTCAAGATAAAGTGATGTCACTATGATTTCTACATATTTCACATTATGCCAACTACAATGGAAGAATGATTTCTGCAAAAATATTATTGCATTGGAAACTGAATTGTCTCTGATTTTCTAATAAAGCTTCTGAAGTTCTTCTTTAAGAGATAAATGTATTTTTGGCTATTTAACATATAAAATAGACAAGAAGATCTATTTAAGGTCCAAATCTTTTAATGTCCATTCAGAAGTATTTTAAAGCATTTTTATAAATAGCAATTTCATCTCATTTATGAGAGGAACTCTCATTTTCTGACAAAGATGTTTGTAGCATATATTCTTTTTTAAAATTTCTGTTGTGCCTTAGGTTACCATGGTCTTTACTGTGAGGAGGAATATAATGAGTGTCTTTCAGCTCCTTGTCAGAATGGAGCTACCTGCCGAGACCTTGTCAATAGCTATGACTGTGTATGTCTTCCTGAGTATGAAGGTGAGCAATACTATATTTTAAAAGAAATCAATTTATAGATTGCTGTAAATGCATAATTTAAAGTTCACCATTCACCAGATAAATCTTTTTATGTATATTTCAGACTCTAGTGCTAAACAGATTTGGATGTAACAGCATTTTCCCCTTAGACTATTATACTACGTGGCTTAAATTAACAACGGTAAATTGACAATTGCCTTGACTCTGGAACACAATTAATGAAATTTTCTGATTAAGACAAAGATTGGTCTCTGACCTAAAAAGAAAACTATTTGAAATGGAGAGTAGCAATTGAATGGGCAAATATAAGCAATTTGTCATTCAGAGAGGTGTATTGTGGTTTTTAAAAATGAATAGATAAATGTGTATACATCTAATTGAGCAGTTTGTGTGCATATGTTATGTTTGCCACAAAAAATAAAGGATAAAACAAAGAATTTTGAATGCCGATCAAAAAGAGCAAGGAAATACCTTTTGTAGAATTGCTGGTTGTGATTCCAGAGATAGAAAATTAAATTGGTCACTTGTGGGCTGTTGAAACCAGAAACCTGCACTCTCTTTTTGAAAATGTAGACCACTACTATTCCCCCTCCTGTCCTTGAAAGCTTTCAGTATATACTAGCTGGACCTAAAAGTCAAAGGAATCACTCACTTCAGGTTTACCCTTCAATATCATCTTCAAGAGAGTATGCTAAATGTTAAATATAATGTCACTGGAGCATGATCAGAAATAACTATTGAGTGTATGTTAGAATCACAAAAAGATAGAAAACTGATGGCAGAAAAAGACGTAGTGGTCCACCAAATCCACCCTTTTTTTTTGTTTCCTTTTAAATGTATTTATGTATTTATTGTTTTTAATTATTTTTTATTTTATTTTTTAATTCTATAACATAATATCCTAGTGAACAAGAAACCAAACCATAACCTAGGACAAACTTTATGATCATAAAGTTATGATCGTAAAGTTCATTATGAACAGTATATTCTCTATCAGTCAGATGTTGATACACCATATTTATACATTCTGATGCTTTTCTCCTTCGCCATCCTCTGAATAAGTTATGCAATGAAGAACACTTAGAAACTGCAACTGGTCCAGAATATGACAGCATGGACAATTATAGGCATGTCACAGTATACTCATGTAACATCTCTACTCCATGAGCTGCACTGGATGTTGGAATTTGCTTTTAATATTATATGCTGCTCAGAGTTGTCATGGAGTTGGAAAGCCTTGCCAATTTTATAACTAAATAATTATTTCTTGTATTATTCTCAGGAAGACACTGTGAATTATATAAAGATCCTTGTGTAAACATCAGCTGTCAGAATGGTGGGACTTGTGACAGCGAAGGGCTAAATGCTACCTGTATCTGTGCACCTGGATTTACAGGTACTTTTTTTTTTAAATTGCACAATATGCAGAGATATTTATAAAAATGCATAAGTAAAGTAAATGTAAAATGTATTAACTTGCACCTGCACTATTTATTATTCCAAGAAATTAGTGGACAGTTTAGATAACAGTACCTTATTCTGAACTAAAAGAAACATAGCAATAATAATATTTGTGATATTTTGATTCATATGATTAAAAAGTGTATGAAAGTGAGAAGATCATAAAGGGAATTCAATTAAGGTTGCCATTTACAACTGTATCTTTCTTTTTATTTGTGCTAACTGATTCTTTAATCTCTTTCTGATTGATTGGCTGCTTCACAACAACCTTTTCACAATTCTTTGTTGATTCAGATTTGGGTAGGTTATTTTTGTATATGGGGCAAGAACAATACTTTGGCACATTTTTCAAAGTACAGGTAGTCCTTGACTTACAATAATTTGTTTAGTGACTGTTCAAAGTTACAGTGTCACTGAAGAAAGTGATTTACAACTAGTCCTCACACTTATACTGCTGTATTCTTCATGGTCACATGATCAAATGTTGGGAGCTTGGCAACCAGTATGTCTTTACAATGGTTGCACTATTCTGGATCTTTTGATCACATTTGTAATCTTCCCAGATGGTTTCCGACAAGCAAAATTGTTTCAGTCAAGCTTTTTTCTAGATGTTTGATTGCTTTGCTATGCAGATTTTTGGCTGTATTATCATTGTTATTGTTTTAATCTGCTGTGCAACCCTGGGAATATCTTGGGATGTCGTCCTAGAAGCAAATAATATGAAGTGAAAGTGATAGCTGACAGAAAGAAGGATACAGGTGGATTGCTTCTAACAAGGAATGTGTTACTTTTTTAGTCACAGATATAAATACAGAAATAGATATACAAATCAAAATGATATAGAAAAATCATCATGTATACCATTTTACTTCTACAGTTGCAATAGAAAACTGTTTTTCTTACCTGTTTTTAAGGTGAAGAATGTGACATCAACATAAATGACTGTGAGAGTAACCCTTGTCACCATGGAGGACTGTGCATAGACCAACCTAATGGATATAGTTGCCATTGTCCCCGTGGATGGGTTGGTGCAAACTGTGAAATACGTGAGTATAATTTATTATTACTCATAGTACATTGAACCATAGAAGTATTGTTTTTATGTAACATGTTTATTTTAGTATTTAATCAAATAGAGTTAACAGGAGTTTGTAATGTCATCATAAGACACTCTGCACAGTATGTCTTCCATAATACTATAACTGCTATAGTTCTTTACAGACTTCATGTCTGAATGTAGTTGAAATTCCTGAAGACTTGGAAAAGGATTTCCTATAAAATTATAGTCCCAGACATTAATGCAGTTTTTTAAAAATAATAGTAAGTAGCAAGTACTTCCAAGAAAGCATGCATGGATCATGACAATGGTGGAATACTCTGTTTAACCAATTTATGTTAAGCTTCCAGGAACCACTGCTAGAAGTATCCTGGGAATGCATATTTTATTGTCTGCCCAGCTTTTTAATAGCTGTGATTGCCTTTATATTCCATGCATATGGAAAAAGTGTAAAGTGATACCTTTTTACAGTTGCCCTGATTTTACGGATTGTTTTTTAATTTTATTTACTTCATAGGATATTATAAATGGGAGATGTAGTGCTGGTATATAAACTATAGATAGTTTTCAAGTACCATGTTTCCCCCAAAATAAAACCCTGTCTTATATTTTTTTGAACCCTGAAATAAGCGCCTAGCCTTATTGCCATGAGCTCAAAAGCCCCATTGGGCTTATTGTCAGGGGATGTCTTATTTTGGGGGAAACAGGGTAATTTCAACTTAAACAAGGTCATTAATTAACCAAATAAAGCAAAATTGTCCTGTAAATTGCATAGACATTTTGATATAGGTTGAAAAGCACCCACTCCTACTGAGGTTTAAAAATACCACATAACTTTTATGAGATGACATTAAACTAAAATAAGAAAAACTTTTCCAATTTTTTGCTTTTGATTTATATAAAGAATCTAGTCCATATGTAATTTTCATCACACAATTATGGCAACATCTTCCCGTATCTATATACTGCTAAAATTGGGTAAAATTGGATATGGGGCATGGGTGCTGGCATTCTGCAAATTAACCCATTTGAGTTGTCTTGGTTCATTAACTGTTGCTCTCAGAAATCATTCCTCCTCTTTCTTGGCTGACCTGTGGAATTATCTGCCAGTATGCTGAGGGGAAGGAGAATAAAGGGAGCCATAGATTGCAAAGAAAAATGCATCCCTGTTCCTTATCACAGCTTGTCTCCAAGGACCTCTCCCTCCAGTGATGAAAAGGGCTCACCTACCAACTGTCAGCTCCTCCAGCCAGACCTATCTCAGCAGCAGGCATCTAAGTCTTTCATATCTCCTTTACAACAATGCTTTTTAACATTTTGGAGTGATGTCTAGTTTTCAAGAAAGGAGAACATAAAAGTTAATATCAATTAAAAGAGATAAGAATTGTGTTGCTGGCTAAGAATTCTATAATGAATACCTGCAGGTTCAGATCAACTGAATAGAAATAGCTCATCTTTTCCCATTTTATCCTACTGATAAATAGAGCAAATGAATTAAGTCCTAGAGCTACAGTACCTCATCCTCAATCCATGTTTACTGCAGGGGAGTGGTATGAAATGCTTGAGGAAACAACTCTCTTGATCATAAAATTCATTCTTCCAAGTTGCTATATTCTAAGAAATAACATGCAATAGTCGTTCATCTCTGCATCCTCAGTTCTGTGACTTTTCACTGCATTATTTATTTTTGAGTAGGTTTGAACCAAAGAATAAACCAACATTCTACATACTGTTTTCCTAACTCACCTAGATTTAACAAGTAAAAGGCCATTAATTCATCCATAGTATAATTAGGATGGGAAGGCTAAAAAATATTTGTAGCTGTGTAAAATTTATATTAGGTTTGTTAGCATCTGGGGTATAGTTAAGTTTTTTTTTTTTTTCATTTCTAATGTGTGTTTTGTTATGAGTCTGGAAACTATCCAAGGGTGAATGACAATTTATTTCAGTGATAGACAATAAGCTGACTGACAGCTGGCTTTAATATCCTGAGACATAAAATAATCCTTGAAAAATGCATTCTATGCAGTGCTTCAGTATTATGTATTGTAATGACAATATTATGCAAGTTGTAAGAAAGAGATAGATTGCTGGGACCATATGCCTTTATTGCCTACTGAAGCTGATCTTCTATGATAGCAAAAAGTTCAAAACCTTAGTTTAATCCAATATTTTAAAAACTTCACAGGTTTAATATAGATTACAAATAACAATGAGATGTAGCCGAAAAGGGAACATTACTTTATTTGAGCTATTCTTCCATCTCGAGGGGTCCTTGGTGCTCTCTGAGCTTGCTTGTTTTCAAGCAGACGTTTCATTATCAGACGTTTCATTATTCTAATTAGGTAACATCATCAGTGCTAGTACTTTTCCACCTTACCAGATACATTCCTGGCCGATGAGAAAGAACAAGAAATGCAAATAGAGTTTTAATTGGAAAATAGTCTGAATGGATACCAAATCCAGTAATTGTCTTGGGCCACAGGTCACTTTCAGACTTGTGTGGACAAACCATACATGAGAATAGAATAGAATGGAATGGAATGGAATGGAATGGAATGGAATGGAACGGAACGGAACGGAACGGAACGGAACAGAACAACAGAACAGAATTCTTTTTTGGTCAAGTGTGAAGGAGAAGAAGTGGTCTAGAAGCTGTTTTAGTGATAATCAAATCATGATGTGAGAAATCGTCCACTTAGTCTACTTCTTCATTTAGGAATAACCTAAATGTAAATGTAACCAAAGTTGGTGTTTCATTAGCAGAGGAGGATGAGACAAAAGAACATGCAGTTTGTAATACAAGTAGTCCTTGACTTTAGCAATCATTCAAAGTTATATTGGCACTGAAAATATGACTTACAACCAGTTCTCTTATGGCTGTTGCAGCATCATCATGGACATATGTTCAAAATTCAGGCACTTGGCAACTGGCATGTATTTACAATGGTTGTAAGCATCCCCGGATCACGAGATGTCCATTTGTGACCTTCTCAGCCAGTTTTCAACTAGCAAAGTCAATGGGGGAAGCTGGGTTTGCTTAATACTGTGATTCACTTAACAACTGCAATGAATTGCTTAACAACTGTGGCAAAAAAGGTCATAAAATTGGGTGGGATTCACTTAACAATCACCTTGCTTAGCAATTCTGATCCCAATTGTGGTCATAAGTCAAGGAGTACCTCTAGGTCTTGCTAGCTTTGTAGACCTTTATGTAGATTAGAATGCCTTCAAAAGAATGAGCAGAGTAAAGTGGAATGAGCTTTTTATGGCACAGGGAAATGGGAGTGCTATTAATACCATAATTGTTTTTCCCGTCCACTCCTCTAGATCTACAGTGGAAATCAGGGCACGTGGCTGAGAGTCTGACAAATATGCCTCGGCATTCTCTGTATATCATAATTGGAGCCCTGTGTGTAGCGTTTGTTCTGATGTTGATCATTCTTATCGTGGGGATCTGTCGCATCAGTCGTATTGAATACCAAGGTTCATCTAGGCCAGCCTATGAAGAATTCTACAACTGTAGGAGCATTGACAGTGATTTCAGCAGTGCTATTGCTTCTATCCGACATGCCAGGTATGCTTGGGGGAAACATAACACTGTTTTTGAAGGAACAGCAAGTTGGATGAAAAACCAATTCATGCTGTAAGAAATAATGATAGAATGTTTCTGCATACAAATATTTTGAAGAATGAAGAAATAACTATGTTAGCGAATAAGCCTACACTAGCTCATTGTAGCCTGAGCTCTATCTATACCAGGGGTCGTCAACCTTTCAGACCTCAGGGACCACTAAATTCATAATTTTAAATTCCGCGGACCACTAATATGAATTTTTTAAAAAGATAAATAGTATTTAGTGCAATTTAAAAAATGCAAATAATTTTTCTGCGGACCACCAAAATTTTCTCATGGACCACCAGTGGTCCACTTGAGTATAGGCAGTTGGTCTATACTCACGTATAGTGAGTATAGTGGTGACCGCTGATCTATACCTTTAAAAATGCATTTGGCTTATTCAAGCTTTTTAATATATAACCTGCCTTCTGCAATTTGGGAGCCACATTTCTTGATATGCAGGTCATTATTGACTGGCTAATATTATTTTCCTAATGTATACACATTCAGGCACAAACATATTCCTATGGCCAAGCAGTAGTTAAATAAGAAATATAACAATTCAATCACTATAGAGTAACATTTGATTCCTATATATCTTTAATATGCAAGCCTAGGTTATAAACTCAACAGTGATCATCTTCATGAATTGCAATTTTAAACTTTATAGATCATGCAGGATCAAACCTTCATAGACTTGTTACCGACTGCAATTTAGAGCAAGAACCTTAAAGAGCCTAATGAAATCAATCTGTTTCCACCTTGGTTGACTCTGTTTGAGATCACTCGCTTTCAAACTGCTCTGTGGGCAGGATCTGAGCAAAAACTCCCCCCATTACATAGTAGCACTCAGGTCCCGAATGCATGCTTGCTGATTGTCAGCCCAGCATTCTAACCACATGAGCCACTACATTCCACTTGCCTAAGGTAGAACTAGAATTTATAATTGCCTTAACCACTATGCAAAACTGGCTCTCTTTATATATGTACAGTATATATAAATTGTATACATGCTTAGATACATACACTATATTGGCCACCCAATTCCCAGAACTCTGGGCACTGATATTGTCACATAATCAAACTTTTCATGTTAAGCTTCAGGTCAAGAATGATGTATCTCGATCAAAATGGTGTGTTTGTTTGTTTGTTTATTTTTATTTATTTGTCAACAAGTACAAGGAAACAAGTAACAGTATAGACATAGACATGGACACATGAAAAAAGTTGGCACATATAAAAGGATATAAATAGGCAAAACGTAGCCATAAACACATAAAATGATTACATATAAATGGGGATAGTAGGACAGGGACGGTAGGCATGCTGGTGCGCTTATGCACGCCTCCTTAGGGACCTCTTAAGAAATATGAAAGGTCCACGGTAGATAGTTTAAAGTAAAAGGTATGTGGATTAGCGAGACTAACAACAGGATCAGGTAGAATGTTCCAGACATTTACTACTCCATTGCAGAAGTCATATTTCCTACAATCAAGATTGATATCTGAAATGCAGTGAGGGTTCCAGACAGGTGAACAGTATTCAAGTATAGGTCTGGCAAAGGTTTTTTATGCCCTAGTCTGAAGTATAGCGTATATATGCCCGCCCACCCCCCCAAACAAGAATAAAGTATTGACAAGAAAAGTAGGGACAAGTACACGGATTTGTATATATTGGAGGTGTTTTTCCAAAGCGTGGTCTTTAGAACCTCATTTCCCAAGTGTAGCTAGCAACAGTACAATTTAGGATTAACTGTAGTGTACAATTGATCACCTAAGCTTTCACAGTTTCATCATAAGAATTTTAACATATATGGAATTACACCATAAACGTTTGGTGATGAAGTAGAGTTTTAGAATTACAACTTTTGAAAATAATGATCTTGTAGATTACTGCCAGGAAGACAGATGTTTTTATATGTATTACTCCACTATGACTTCTGTCTCCACTTACTTTTTTGAATTTTAGATTTGGAAAGAAATCTCGTCCTGCAATGTATGATGCAACTCCAATTGCTTATGAAGATTACAGCCCTGATGACAAGCCTTTGGTTACACTGATTAAAACAAAAGATTTGTAATCTATTTAACAGTCGTTTTGGGGGAGGGGATTATTTTTCAAAAGGATGGGCTACTGAATTAATTCAATATTTTTAAGATGAAGCAAGTGTATGAAAATTAAAATGTTTAGCTGCTCCAGAATTTTCTGTAGATTATTTAAGAACAGGTTTTCTGCAGCTTTTTGTTTGAAGGAAATATTTTAAACTGAATTTGTGAAATTTATTATTTCTCTTTTACTGTACTTCAGCATTAGAAACTCTAATCTTAACAAGTAGTGTGTTGTTGCTTTTACCAATCTCAGATGAGTACAGGCAGAATATGATATGTTAAGCAATGAAAATTTCTCCTTAATGTAACAGTGGCAGCATTCTTAGTAGACTTAGGAAAAATGTAAAACTTGATATATTCATTATTGAAAAAATGAAGTCCGAAATGTTTGTGTTTGTGAAAAGGAATTTAGTAAAAATTATTATTCTTAAACTGAATGAATTAGCTTTCTCCCTCTTTTGTGCATGGATAATCTTTCTGTATTATGTTCCTGAAACTTGCTAAAATTTGGCCTTGAGTTGGTGTTTGTCATTTTTGTAATGGTATGCAAGGTAAGCTTTGTAAAAATTAATATATCATTGAAGTGCCTATTAAGGCAAAAAAGGGGGTGTTCCTATTGCTTTGAAATTAATTTCAGTTGATTTCATAATGCTGAGGATTAGATCTTTGTATTGGAATTACGTTTACGTTAAAAAGTCCAGTTTTTTTTAATAGTGCAAGTAAACAAAACATATAATTTGAACAGTTTGTCTCTCAAATGTTAACGTAAAGTATTACTCTTGTTTACAATATTGTGTAATTCTCATAGTGCATCTTATTTACACATGTGGGACTTTTGTGGCTCTATTTGACTGCTTATGTGTTTCAAGATTTTTGCTCATTTCAAAGAATATTGAATAAATGTGACCAATTCAAGTGGCAGCTCATTTGTTTTGCCTTCAGCTGTTACGACTGTGAGTGCCCTTGAATGTAAGCCATATGCCTTATAATTATAATGTAAACCAGTCATGGTGTCTTGAGAACCAGTTCCATTTTATTTATATATTTTGAACATTTTCAAATGTAACATATTTTTGGTTTGTATAATGTGGAGTTGGCTCATATTGTTTGTAATATGAGCAACTGCCATTTAGCACAAGTGTGGATTTTGAACACGGTATAATCATGTGATAGGGACTGTTTTCCTTCATCTCAAAACAAGACCTACAGATGCAGAACTTTCATTTTCTACTATATTTTTCTTCGCTTTCTTTCTACATATGTATTTCCTGCTGAATGGTATTTTTCTGTGCTTCCAAATATTTAATATTTAATAACTAAGTATGCCCAAGATAGTTATATTTTATTAAGACAGTAAGATCTTTAGTAAGATCTTTAAGTGTTGTCATCTACCCATTATTTTGGGGATCTGAATGGACCAGATACCCAGAATGTAATGGTTATTGTAGACAGCAGTACCTCCTTGGTATATTTAATTTGATAGATGAGTGGAAAGTACTTAGAGGGCAATGCATTATGGATACAATAGTGGAAAAAGTCCTAAAGTTTACATCTCGTAGGGAGACCAAATGGCAGTGGGGTAGGGAAGAAGGCCAGCAGGTAGGAGAGAGAGAGAGAGAGTAATTGAATATAAACAATCAAAGGTTCTTGTCTGTGTGTACTGACTAATACAGGATAACTCATAGGATGTTATTTCACTAGCATCCTCACCTTATTTCTCAGTTGCAGCTGAAGTGGGACTATAAGTTGCATACAAATATATTGTATTTTTAGTAAAATAATTGCAGAGAGACATGGTCAGATACATCTGCTGGAATCCTAAGTGGACAACTGCCAACTGAAGTAGACAGCATGGATCAGATGGAACAGTTTTAGGACATCATTATACCAATATATCATTTCTAGAAGCTACATAACAATTCCAAATGGCATTTCTGTATCATTATCACTCTATTATGGAAGTGAAGAAAACTGCTACTCGGTATGTTCATGGCTGTGATTTATGTTGCCTGAAAGCCTCATGCAATGTATATATGTATATCAATGGCTAGCAGGAAGCATTGGTATACTATATTAGTAAGTAAAATTTAATTTTTCTGAGAATAATTTCCCATATTTTTGTTTGTGCAATATTTTTTATTTGTTAATTGTTAGATTTAATACACACCACATACCATGATTTTAATGGTTTATAATTTACAAATGGTTTATCGAACTGAAAATGGGGTTTTGGAACACAAATAAATATCTTATGATCCATGTTCAGTAGAGAAGAGGTTTTAATTTTTAATTCCTTTCCTTACAATGAATCTTTGTTTTTTTTTAATTAAGTATAATTTATAATTTTAAATATAATTTTCATTTATTACTTTATGCACAAGCCCTTTCCAGTCTTTAAAATACCTCTTAAGTTTTGCTTGTCTGACAACTGTGATCTATGTTAGTGACAACCTTAAATATAATACACAAATCTGAGAGGGAATTCTTTTGCTGCTCTTTCATAGTTTTCAGTTCTCATTTAATTCTGTCTTTTTCCTAATAACAGACCTTTCATCATGCTACATTTAGAATATTGATTTTTGCCTGTATGGGTACTTTATTGATTCATTAGCAGTCTTTGAACATTTGGAAGGAGGATAAGAACGCAATACATCCATCTTTGAAAATTTAGAAACATAAAAACACATACTATCTATTCTACAACTAGTCTAAAAGTATCAAAAGATGGCTTTATATATTTTTTCTCTTGTCTGGGATGGTCTACAACCATATTATCACCTGGTTAATACATCTTCTATTCCTTTGAATTTTATGCATGTCATTAAAACCCATTGCAGAAAACCCAGAAAACTTCTCTTGTATCACATTTCTGTTATACCTAGTAAAAAGAAGCTGACTATTGTTTGGTTTGGTATAGCTTAGTTGAACACTATGGTCATAGACAAGAACAATTTAAAAAATAAAATAATAGTAATAAAAATATATCAGGATGAAGCATAATCTGGCTAAAATAATATAGCAAAATATATAACATAGTAAACATAAATTAACACAAGTGAAGTAAGATAATCAGACTATATCATTTTATTTATTTAAGAAAATTTATATGGCCCAACTCATTCACAGTGACTTTTACAAAAATAAAACCTTGATATAAAAACAATAACAAGCAATAATCCCGCACTCCCCTGGTGATAGCAATCAATTAATCAATCAATCAAACAAACCATTTTATGGGCTCCGTCCACTCTGCGGTTCCCAGACCTGTTGGCAAAACCAAGTCTTCAAGGGCTTCCGAAAGAGTGTCAAGTGGAATCCAATCCTATCTCTGCAGCGATGAATTTCCACAGGAAGGGAACCACTATGGAGAGGACCCTTCCTTTTGGTTCAGCTAGATGAACCTCCTTAAGAGAAGGGACACTTAGCATCCCCTGCCCCAAGCTCTGATGGACAGATGTGACTAGGAAAAGATGGTCCCCCAAATAACCTGGTTCCAAGCCATGTAGAGGTTTAAAGGTAACAACCAGCACTTGGAATTGGGCCCAGAAACAAATTGGCAACTAATGCAGCTCCTGCTTCTGGATACTTTTCAAAGGTAGCCTCATGTAGAGCCCATTGCAATAATTAACACAGGCGGTGACTAGGGCATGAGTCAGGGGTGGATTCCACTTACCTTTATTACTGGTTCGCAGCGGTATTGCATGTGTGGGCACTCTTTGCACATGCACAGAAGCTTCTGTGCATGTGCAGATTACCAATGATGATGTGCCAGGTGGGCGGAGCCTCCCGCCAGTTTTACTACCAGTTCTATAGAACCGGGCAGAACCGGGAGCAACCCACCACTGGCATTAGTGGGAGTAGACATTGTTGATCCAGGAAAAGGAGTAACTGGTGTACAACCCGCAGTTATGCAAAGGCCCTTCTGGCCATGATTGTCACATACTCCTCAAGCAGGAGTTGTGAATCCAGGAGAACCCCAGGTTATGGACTGAGTCTGTTTGGGACAGTGCCATCCATCCAAGACCAGAGATGGTAATTCTCCATGGACCAAAGAATTCCAAACCCAGAGCCATTTTGTATTGCCAGGGTTCAGTTTAAGCCTGTTGATCCCCATCCAGCCCTTAACAGTATCCAAGCATTGCAAGTGGGGAGAGGTGTCATGGCATCACTTAACTCATCATGGCCTTGAAGCAATTATTTGAGTTCCATAGCCAGTATATCAAATCTGGCTATACTACCTGAGATCTCCACCTCCTGAATAATTAGTAGTTGAGACTATCATCTTGAATCCTACATATCTTGTTAACATTTTGGTTCAGAAGGAGAATATATTATCCAGTGTATGTTCAACATAGGCAATTAAACTAAAATGTATCAATTTCAGATAACTTTTGCTGCTTACAGAATTTAAACATTATAAGACAAGATTGTGATTAGATACTCCACTGCAATTTCTAAAAGTGGCCATATAGGAATGGAGGATTACAGCTGCCATATAGGAGGTGGCGGATTTTTCTTTTTATTCATGGTTACATCAAGGTCTGACCTCTATACAAGCCGATATAAAGAGAAGGGAAATTGAGGAGGCCTGTATTTTCTTCACATTAAAGAAAAATATTGGTATATGGAATGGAAATATTTAGGATGTTATAGGAAAGTGTTCTCCAACCATCTCAGTGCTACTTTTAAAGATTTAACTTATGCTAAGACATCCAGTCCATGATCTCCAACCTAATGTTCAATCAAGGACATTTAAAGCAGCTATATCAAATCCATGTTTCATCTATTTACAGCAAGCTGTCTACAATTACAAGAACTTTCACCGGAAATTAATACCATGGAAGCCAGCAGCAATTTGTATGTTCTCTGATGCAAGAGAATAAAATAAGAGTGTGGAGAATCTGGGCACACTTCACATCTAGAATCTGAACACAAAAGCAAGCTGAAATAATGTCTTCTGTAAACTCTACTTAGGGCAAAATAGCATTACGTTACAAGTAACCGTATAAGCTACTTTGTAGCTGAATTATTTTTCTCAGAAAGTTACTCAACTTATATTAGATGAATTTCTCATAATGGCTCATTGAACACCATTTGGGACAATTAAAGATAGTTCTCTTCGCATAATATTAATGATTTTCAGGAGACAAAATGTACCAAATTTCATAGAAATTAATTCAAGGCTTTTAAGTCTTTTAATTCCCTTACATACTGGATCAAATGGGACAGAGATTAAAATGATATGGGAACACCAACAAGGGATTAAATGTAGCTCCAAAGACTCATTAATGTAAAGCTAACTACTCAGGTTAGTCATTTTGGACAGGGTTCCAAGAGACAGCTATAGAGTAAGAATGATTGAAAAAGCAAGACTCCATATTCTAGAACTCGTAGTTGAATCCCGACTACCCAAAACATATCTCTGAAATGTGATTGACTGCAATGGTGCAACCATGCCTGACATGAAGAATATGCACACACAAATCAATATTATTTAGAAATATTTTCAAAACTAGAAGTTAAAAATAAGTACTGAATGATTTGTGGATAGTAAGAATACACAATATAGAGTAACTAAAAATGTATAATTGAAAAATTAGTCTTAAAAGTATCCTGGAAAAGGAGAAGATGAGATGGAACAAAGTGATATAAATACAACAACTATGAATATACAGTACATTGATTTCTTTCTTAAGCTTCTCCAATTTATTCCCCCATCCAAAAGTCTCTGATTTGATGAAGGACCCATTAATTCCTTAAAGCAATAAAGGTAGTCCTTGCTTAAAGACCATTCATTCAGCAACCATGTTATGTTGGCATTGAACAAATGATACTTACGCCTGGTCCTTGAAGTTACAGCTGATGTAGTGTTAGTTGCTTGTCAACCCGCCTTCACTTTACTCTCCCCCATCTCTGCCCTTTTGGCCACCTGTCACAGTGGCTCTCCATGCAGCATCGTCGATGCTAGGGCTAACAGAGAGGTTTTGAAGCCTTCTAAAATTTTGGGAAGGATTCCGCCACAATTCTCCAAATCACATGTATGGTTCTTGCTTTCTGAAGGCCTTTCTGAAACATCTCAAGGAAACCACATGTGATTTGAGGTGCAGCTTACTTGCTAGGTTTCAGAATATAATTTTATACCTTGCCCCAACTGGAAGAGTGGCTGAGAAATGCTGTTATTTTCTCAGCTCCTTCACCTACTTTTACACTCAGTTGTAGGGCATGTGAACAATTTTGCAGATTCAACTAGTTTCAGTTAAACACATTAGGGCTTTGTGCAATGTGTAAAACTACCCACAGAGAGATTGAGCATAACGTCTAGGAAAATGAGTTACCAAATATAGTAAAATCTATTTGCCTGTTGACACTGCCATCTGTGCGCTTCCAATATTCATACCACATGACAGCTTTTCAAATTTCCTTCTGTTATATGTGAGATGCAGCCAACAAGCACTAATCATATAACAGAAGCATTTCTCCCAAAATTATTTTACCCATATGGTGCAGCATCCTCTAACTTTAGCACCTTTATTTATACATTTTAATATTTGAATGGAAAATATTTAACCTGTACATGCAGAATTAGGTATACCTTGTGGACTCTATGTCATAAAATAAGTAAAGAGCAAGTAAAATGCTTTATTAGAAAGTATAAATCCTTCCATTCCCCACCATTCAGTCAGAGCTGAAGAAGTTTCTTGGATGAGAAGTGAAACGTGTTCAAAGAAACACTAGAAAGTCCAGTTTGCCTCTTGAAAAAGCACTTTTGGGACAACCATGACCTGGATGACTGAGACTCTCCATAGACATTTAGCTTCATTAGAAACTTATAATTTGATTAGAAATACAATTCTAATTGTCACTAAGACAATAGGTTGACATGCTTTTCACCTTTCCCAATATACATTCTAAATTTAATTTATTGATATTAGCAAGAAAGATGAGCAAATATATATCAGTAGTATGGTATCTTTCTACTGCACCAGCCTCACAAAATCTGCCTGGCTATAGAGAAAGATTTTTCTGCAATATATGAATTGCAATGCTTGCTGGTGTTGTTTCTATCATCAAATATGTATGCTTAATTTTTGAGCAAACAACATTATTACATTATTTTGTACCTGCATATGGATGATGTACATCCAATGGTTTGAAAGGTTATTATTTTAGTAAGTGCAAAATTTAAACTCTGTAGCGAGTTAGCTGTTATGAGATGCATATTATCTTTTAGTCAGAAATGCCTTCCACTTTGCTTACAA